ATTTTTTTGGCACCCCTGGTGTGTGTGTGTGTGTGTGTGTGTGTGTGTATGTGTGTATATATATAATGAATGTTTTTCACCTACTGAGAATAGATTTTAGGACTCACCTACTTAAGCCCCTTTTACATAGTAAAGCTGAACTTCAAAAAGGAAATTTTTTCCCTAAGTAACTTTGTCTTAAATGATATGTTTGGATAAGAAATAATGAAATAAGGACATAAATATATGAATTTCATGCCTCAGGAACTACGCAAAAGAACAAACTAATTTACTCTTACATTTGCAAACTGAAAAAGTAGATTTAAATTACGTTTCCCTAAGTAGTTTCTGTTTATGTACAATATCCTATATATATATATATATATATACATATACATATATATGTATAAAATGTATGTATATATGTGTATGTGCATATAAAATGTTAGCTTTCTTCTTCCAGGTACACACACACACACACACACACACACACACACGCACCTGAATCACTTCAGTGGTCCCCTCCTACCTGGTGTGGGGAGAAGGGAGACAGACCCCATTGTAGGGACCCCTATAAGAGAAGCCACAGAGTGGAACAGGGAGGTAGGGACATGGGGGTGGGAGTGAGATGAATTGGGAGCCTGCGAGAGGAAACTTCCACCACAGTAGAACGCTCCAGGGAGTTGATAGTTAGCTGTTAGGAAATGTGGCTTTGTCAGGCTCCAACATAAAGTGCTCTCAAGAGCTATTGTTTCTGAATGTTTGGAAGGAGTTTCAAAGCTTGCTTGCTCTTCTGATAAGTAAAGTCTTTGGCTCAATCTGGAGAACAGCTAATCAGATGATGGTGGGGATTTCGTTGTGACTATAATTCCCACATGAAATTGTTCTGTCTGGGGCTATGGTCTCACCCTGCTCGATGGAAGAGTATAAGATCCGCTGTGGGTTCCACGCTGGAGGATTTTACTGCCCTTTTCCAAGTGCTGGTGCTAAGAAGACGGTAGGAGCTGTGGGTTGAAGGTATTTTGAATTTACTGTCTCACAGACATGAGTTTCACCTCTAAGCAAGTCTAGGAGAAAAGCAAATTCAAATTAAACATAAAGACAGTGGAAAGATATGGGCTCTGGAGCCAGACTGACTTGATCTGAACCTTACCTCTGACAGGCTGGAACAGGTCATTCGCAGCAGTTACTTAACGCTGTAGGCCTATCTTGTGCCTCGTTTGTGAATTGTAGGTATAGATGCAACAAGGATATTGTGCACAATAATTGAAATACATACTGGAGACATCTAGAACGTTACCAAATAAATGTTAGTTATCTTGTTCCAATCCATCCTGGGGGTGTTTAACTGAGCATTTGTTTCATGCCAGGCTCTGGGCTCGGGGTGTGGGAGAGGCAAGGTCACAGAACAAGAGGATATTTAGTTCTAAGATGGGGAAGATGTGACATGCCCGCCAACTACAACTCAGGAACTCTATCCACACTGGCCACCTTGCTATTAGTTCTGGAACATTCAGGCATGTTCCCGCCTCAGCAGTGTGACACTTGCTGTCCCCTCTCCCTAGAACTCACCTCCTGCACCTGCTTCAGACCTTTACGCCTAGATCACCTTCTTAGCGAGGCCTTCCCCGATTACCTGTTTAAAATTGAACTCCCCAAGGCCGGTGCTCCCTATCCCTCTTATCTGTTTGTTTTTCCCTCTGACAGTTATATATTTTACACCTGTGTGTGTTTTCTGTCATCCCATATCTCTCTGGCCACTTCAGTGTAAACACTGGTTGTCAGGTTTCTTTCTGCTCTATTCTCAGTGCCTAGGACAGCTCCCAGTGGGCACTCAGTGAGTGTTAATGGAATAGATGAGTGGTCAGATTAATTAATTTTAGGCACAGGAAGGGGCGTGTGTCAAGTTCCAATGGCCAAAAGAACCGAAGGTGTGTTAGGCAGTGTTATTAGATTCCTGGGGCTGCTGTAACAAATTATCACAAACTTGGTGGCCTCAAACAACACAAATTTATTATCATACAGTTCTGTAGACAAGGAATCTGACACAGGCCTCACTAGGCTAAAATCCAGGTCTTGGCAGGGCCGTGTTCCTCTCTGGGGTTTCCAGGCAGAATCCGTTTCCTTGCCCTTTCCAGATGCTGGAGCTCCTGTATTCCTTGGTCCACGGGTCCCTTCTTCCCTCTTCAAAGCCAACAATGGCAGGTTATGTCCTTCTTGTATCTCATCACTCTGACTTCTTCTCCTTCCCTACTCCACCTTTAAGGACCCTCGTGATTCCACTGGGGCCACCTGGGTAGTCCAGGACAACCCCCTTAATCCCACTTGCGACTTAATTCCCCTTTGCCACGTAACCGAACATATTCACAGGTTCTAGGAGTCGGAGGATCAGGATGCGGACATCCTTGGGGTGGAGGGGGGAGAAGGGGGTCCATTTTTCTGCCTACCACAGAGTCTAACAAGATGTGAGACACTTGCCCAGAGCCTAAGGCTTCAGCAGCCAGTAGAGAACTATAGAACAGGAAAAATGTAATCATGAATGGCCATGTTTGTCAAGATTTGAGGTGTGGACTTCATCTGGGAGACGCTGGGAAGCCGCTAAAGGCTTTGGAGTAAGGAGATGGAACTGAGGGTAACAGACATGATGTGGACTGAGAGCAGGCATCTGGAGGGAGATTGATGTTCACCTGTTAAGAGCACATGATTTTTTGTTTTCCTCTCGCAAGTACTGAAAACTAGGTGCTCATTTCAAATTTCCTAAGAGAAGTAGGGTGCACTTATGGTGTCTTTTTAAAAACCACTGTATTATGTTACACATATGCACAACACATGTACATAGAGACCCAAAAAGCCCTGTTGCACAGACACACTCACACCAGCACACACATTTCCTCATACACATACCCTCTGAGTCACCCTGTTTTGGGGGTCTTTTTTTTTCTTTTTTTCTCTTTTAAAGGTTTTTATTGGGGAGTTGGGGAAGGGGAACAGTGTTGAGGAATTGAGGAAGGGGAACAGCCAAGTTGTTGTCCTTCAGTCTTAGTTGTGGAGGGTGCAGCTAGCTCAGCTCCAAGTCCAGTCACCATCCGGCCACCCGTCGGTCAGCAGCTCGTGGCCGCTCAGCTCAAGGTGCCGTGTTCAATTTTAGTTGCGGGTGGACACAACCCACCATCCCATGTGGGAGTCGAACTGGCAACCTTGTTGTTAGGAGCACGTGCTCTCACCAGCTGAGCCATCCTGCCACCTGTTGGCAGCTCAGCAGCAGCTCAGCTTGGTCACAGCTCACTGGTCCATGTGGGAATCGAACCGACAACCCTGTTGCTCAGAGCTCGCACTCCTAACCAACTGAGCCACTCTGCCAGCCCTTGTGCTCTCTTTTTTGTGCTTCTCCATGACCCCCATATTCTTTTCTGCCCTGACACACCTGAGTAATATGTATTGCCCCACGAGTAACATAGGCTTACTCTGGCAGTGGCTCTCACAGGGTCGTTCTATAAACCTCTTCTTGCAGACATGTAAGAATCTCCAGGGAGTTGTATATAGTTGGAAAAACCCGGCCCTCCTCACCTTTACCATGACCCAGCACCCATCACCCCCGCATTGGCCGTGATTTGATATAACTTCCTAGGGTGTTTCTCCTTTCTGACCCCCATTGAGAAGCTCATGGATATTGAGCATCTGGTTTTCCGAGTGTCTGATGAGTTTCTTACGCTTTGATTAGCCACTTTATGCAGCTGTCTAGTAGAACTTTCTGTGATTACAGAACTGCATCTAATGCTGTCCAGTATGGTAGCCATAGCCACACATGGCTATTGACTCTTGAAGTGTGGGCATATTGGAAAAATAGAAGACCTGCTTACTAAACAGGCAGACAGATATTTAATTAAATGGTAACTTGTCATTTTGTTTTGAATTGCTTTGTAAATTGTTGGGAATTTGTATGGATTGATTTGACTTTTAGTTTTTGCAGGAATCAAAGTTGGTTCCCATGTATGGGTATAACTCTGTGTACCCATCTTCCTTTTTCTTGGCCTCATTCTGCACTGATAACTCCATATTGATTAAAGTGTTATCTGTAGGTCCGCTAACAAATGATTCTTACTCTTGACCCTCTTCCCCTTCCTGTCTTCTAGATATAGAGATATATATCTATATTTACATATCAGCTTTATTAAAATATAATTCACATACCATACAATTCAGTCAGTTAAACTGTACAATTTCATAGTTTTTAGGGTAGTCACGGAGTTGGGGAACCATCACCACAATCAATTCTAGAACATTTTCAGCACCCCAAAAAGAAACCACATGCTCATTAGCAGTCACTCCCTAATTCTCTCCAACCGCCCCATGCCCCCATCCTTAGCCAATTACTAATCTACTTTTTGTCTCCGTGGATTTGCCTGTTGTGAACATTTCACATCAGTGGGATGTTTTCAAGGTTCAGCCATGTTTTTAACAGGCATCAGCACTTCATTTCTTTTTGTTGCCAACTACTACTTTATTGTAGGGATATGCCGCTTTTTACTCATTCATCAGTTGATGGACATTTGGGCTGTGTCCACTTTGTGCTATTATAAATAAAGCTGCTATGAACATTTATGCACAAGCTTGTGTGTGAACATACATTTTCATTTCTCTTGGTTATATATCTAAGGAGCAGAATTGTTCAATGATGTGGTAAATCTATGTTTATTTAAGAAACTGCCAGACTGTTTTTCAAAGCGGCTGCACCATTTTACATTCTTATCAGTAGCATATGAGATTTCCAGTTTTTCCACATCCTCACCAGCACTTGTTATTCCTATCTTTTTGATGCTAGCCATCCTAGTGGGTGTGAAGTGATATCTCATTGTGGGTTTGATTTGCATTTCCCTAATGGCTAATGATGCTGGGAATATTCCATGTGCTTATTGGACATTTGTATATCTTCTTTGAAGAAATGTCTACTCAGATCTTGCGCCCATTTTTTAATTCAGTAATTTGTCTTCTTTTCTGTTCTTTTAATTTGGCCTGTTCAGGATGCTGATATGCTAACCGGTGATGAGCAAGTATGGAAGGAAGTTCAAGAATCCTTGAAAAAAATTGAAGAACTGAAGGCACATTGGAGTATCCTTTCACCTGTGGATTCAGTTGTACTCTTGGGACACTGGTCGGAGCCTGGTGTTAATGAAGCCAAGGCCAAGGTCTGACCTCCCTGGTGAGGTTCATAGTCACAGGCTGCATTCCTGACCCCAGCCATCAACGTGGGTACTGGCGAGGGAAGACCAAGGCGAGGTCACCGTGAATACCTTGCCACCTTTGGGTGATAATCCAGTGCATGGCCCAGTAGCAGTAGGAGGACAATGAGTAGTAGTCTCTTTATGTGTAAAAGGTAACACATTTCTGGGTTCCCTTTTTCCCAAAACCTATAGCTCTAGGAAAGAATAGCTTAGAATCCCTGCAATTTAATGTCATTGACTCAGATCTAGAAACATCATATTAAACCAGCCATGACTGCAATGGCCATGGGAGTGGAGGCACAGAAAATGTCCTTGGCATAAATACAGTTGACCTTTGAACAACATGGGTCTTAGAGGCACAGGTCTGCTGCACACTCAGAAATCCACATATAGCAGAGGTCAGCCCCCTGCATACGCAGATTCCTAGCCATGGATGGAAAATACTAGTAAGAACCATGAGTGGGTCAAAGTTCAGCATTAGGAGAGATCCCTGTGATGGAAGTCACCTGGGAAGTCCCAGCTGATGTTGTGTGTGTGAGAGGGATCCCCAGTCAGGGACAGGATTTGCGCAGGCAGAGGCTAGTAGGGTGGTCACATCCAGTAGAGTTGCTTACATGAGCAAAAGTGTGACAGAGGGAAACCACAGGTAGGAAGAAGGAGACGAAAACTGATAAAAAAGACTGTGAAAGGTCATTCAGAGGCCTTGCGTAAATGATACCCCAGGCATGGAGAAAAATCTGCAAATGAGGTTTCTACTCTACAATATTCCTTAAAGAATCGCCAAGGATAGGAGAGGCAATTAGACAAACGTTCCTATTTTTAAAGGTGAAATAATTTCTGATATGTATAGCCCAGGGAGGTTTTGTTTGTTTGTTTGTTTGTTTTGTTTTTAGTGGTTTTGGCAAAGAATCTAGAATGGGTTGCTAAAGGAATGGAAAAGGAAGCTGTGACCACCAGGTTGGGGTCACTAAGAGCAAGTGACGCTGTGGAGCTCTGGCTTTGTAGATTTCAGAAAGAGATTTGACAAAAAGTCGTCAAGAAATTTATGCTAGATGCTACTAGCATGCCCAGATGTCTTACTAAATGGTTGACTAACTACATTGAAAAAATGATGCTAATTGAATGACTGCCATGCTGAGTGCTCTGCTCCTATCTCCTTCCTCTGTTACCTTTGATTCTGTACCGTAAGTGAAGATACAGAGCTCATCAAATTCCCGACAGCATATAGAGGGGGAGAAGGCAGAGGTTGCGTGATAGGATCAAGAGTTCAAAAGATCCCTGAAGGCTTGAAAGTTTCCTGAGTCTAAAAAGATGAAATTCAACAAGAGTGTATAGAAAATGTTCTATTTGGGTTCAAAAGTTTAAGTGTATAAATATGCATAAAGATTAGCAGCAGAACACGTGAAAGAATTTTAGGGTTTTAGTAAACAGCAAAATTGATTGGGTTGTCAGAAAAGTCATGACGCGTTTTTGCAACGAAAAACAGACAAAATACGTCATGACTTCTCCGACAACCCAAAAACAAAATTTAAGAGTATGATATAACCGCCCCCTCCCCTCCCAAAGACCACTGTGATCTTGGGCAACATTAATAGAAATAGAGAATAGAAAATGAGAAAGGTGATAGATTAGCCCGATCATATCTGGAATTTTCTATTCAGTTTGAGGTAGGACATATTAAGAAGTATATAGAAAAACTGAAATAAGTTTTGAGAAGTGGAGCCAGGATCAGAATGGAATGTGACACCTTATCTATAAACAGGATGGAGGGTATCAGGAAAATAGTCAAATGTGGGAGCAAGGAGCCATTCTAGGGTCAAAAGAACTCTTACCCTATAGACTAGTAGACTTGTTTGGGGTTGTCCCAGCAGTGGAATTAGGGCCCATGGAGGACCCGGCTGCATTCAGTCTCCATTGGACAAGGTTTTCCTGAAAACGGGCGCTGTCATGTGCCTTGCCAGTTATAAACCCACCTTGGGTCCAGGCAGAATTAGGAAGACATAACCCTGCCCTCACATGTCATAAATTCATACATAAATTAATATGTATTTTGTTAAAATGAAGGCATAGCTTGTTTGATTGCACTTCCCTTTGTTGCACTTCACAGCTGTTGCCTTGTTTTTTTTTTTTACAAATTGAAGGCAGGACCCTTTACCAGCAAAAAGAGGATGACGCGCTTTATTGCGGTAATCTGGAACCAAACCCGCAAGACCTCCCAGACCTGCCTGTGTATATCTGAGGGGCATTGACGGCACAACAGTCAGCTCTGGGAGGTTCAAGAAGGTGTCACAGAGGTGACAACTGAGTTGTGGGAGGATTCATAGGAAGTCACCAGACAAACCCAGGGAAGAAGGCGAGGGAGGCCATCAGAGGGAGGAACCAGTTGAGACGCACGTAACACGAGACAGCGTGCTGCTAAGAAATTACCCGTCGTTCAGTGCGAGGGGAAGGCCTTAAATGCCGTGCACAGGAGACAGACTCTATAGGTGAGAGGAGACGGTGGGGTGATTTTCAGCAGGAGAGTATTATGATTAGGTAAGAAAATGCCCCATGATCTGACAGCCTTTGAGTCTCCAGGGGCTGATGAATTCCCAAGTGAATTCACTTTGTTCGTCTTTCTCTTTCCCCCTAATCCTATTATGGTCATTTGGAAGTTTTCAGGAAAAAAC